TTTTAGTTAATTTAGCATTATTTTCTTAATACCTTAATAAATTGTTACTAAAATTTAGCTTGTTTGCTTTTCCCCGATTATAAAGGGAAGGGTAAACATTTTTTTTCTTTATCAAAATTCTTTTCTTTTTTTTTTTCTTTTTTTTTTTTTTTTTTTTTTTTTTTGTTTTTTTTGTTTTTTTTGTTTTTTTTTTGTTTTTAATTTTTAAAATTTTATTCTCAATTTTTATATATTTATATAATGTAAAAAGTTCTCTAGAAAACAAAACAAAAAAAAAAAATTTTTTTAAAAAACAGTACTTGAATTACAAGCTAAACCATTTACTCTTACTCCAGTTTACTCATATAAAAATTCCTATATAAAAATTATATATTTTTATGTGGAAAAAATTATGTAAAAATATATAATTTGTCTGAATATAAATTAATTTGAATATTTAGTTTTCATTTCGACTTTTTAGTTTTCGACAATTGTTAATGCATTTGTGCTTGCATTCACTTCAGAACTTATACCACGTTTAGTGTGGATTTATTATAAATCTCCTGATGGTAAGTTAGATGGTTTTACGGACTGGTCAATGTCAAAGTTTAGAGTGGCTGACTTCTCAAATGATTCTATGCCTGAAAGTCCAACAAAGAATGGTATAAAACAACAAGAATATTGCAGGTTAATATAATTTTTTCACTTTAAATATAATTATAAATATATAAGTATATATATATATATATATATATATATATATATATATATATATATATATATATATATATATATATATATATATATATATATATATATATATATATATATATATAAAATGTTCAATAAAGTACTTAATGCTTACTCAGAATCAATTCATAAGTAGATCCACACCAATTCTGTAAAAAACTCTGTAAATTCACACCAATAACATGTAAAGTGTTAAATTATATTTCTGCAACATTGGTGGATAATTTTTATGTAGCTAATTTGGTTGCAAGAAAAAAATGCCAACTTTAAGGAAATGGTATACTAGGACAAGAATGGTATCAAAGTTTTATGAAACGATGGATTCAAAATTAAGCCTCAGAGTAGCAGGCAATATTTTGTCTCTCAGAGCTTCTTCTTGTATCAAGGACAAAATAGCAAGTTATTTCAATGCACTTCAAAATAAGTTCCTTGAAGCAAATATCAACAATTATCAAAAAATTATTAACAACAAAATATTAATTTTAACACTAACACATAGTGCAATTCTTGTCATTTTGACAGAACTGGATTTTCAGGAGGTAAACAGCATATAATTTGCAGGCTTGGTGCTAAATGCCCTTTGAAATTGGTTGATATTAGTATCATTCTACCACAGTTCATAGTTTACAAATCAATATCAGTATTTGTATATTCTGTAACATAAATTTTTTTTTTTTTAATTCTGACTCATTCCCAACAAGGCTGCAAGCAACCACTATTAAGTTGGGAGTTACTAGAAAAAAATTAGTAATTACTTGTCTCACCAAAATGGTAAGACAGGTAATTACTAAATTACTCGTATGTAGCACCAAAAAAAAATTCAATATGAGTTTATGTGAAAAAACCAAGTTAGTAGATTGCGTGACAATTTAAATCATACTTTTAAATTAAAATACTTTTTTTAATTCAATTTAAATGCTGACAGTGAGGGCAAGTTTACTATGTGGTCAGAAGTGAGTTCCATACTTTAATAATTCTTTTGCTATAAAATATCTTCTAGTATTATTAATGTATTTATTACGTGGTGTAAACTTTTGTGAATGACTTCTAGTAAAATATTTTGAATTGGAAAAAGTAAAAAAATCTGAAAATTATAAATCAACAAGATTATGTACAATTTTATAAGTCAAATAAAGATCAAATTCAAGTCTGCGATACTCAAGAGAATTTAGTTTGGAAAACAATAAGTCTTGATAAGTAGTCACTGTATGTATTATGATACCTTTTGCAGACAATTCTGGTAAAATATTTTTGAACTTTTTCTATGCAAATTATATCTTTTAAAAGGGGGTGCAAGATTCTAAACTTTGTAAGCTTTTAACAAAAGTTGAGAGTTGTTAGAGATAAAGGATTTTAAAAGTAATTAAATGCGAGAGTATGCTATGCTTAAAATACAAGAGCAGTGATAAGAGAGCTTCGTATCAAAGGACATGGTGATTCCAATATCGTGAATTGAATAAACAGTTTCAATATTGATAACGGAGTTATCAATTATTAAGGATGATAAGAATTAATAAAGATGAGTAGGTATATTATATCTTCCATAGCATAAATGAAAACATTTGTTGGTTGCTATTTTTAGTTGCCAATCATTAGACCATTTCAAGATTTTTTTAAAGTGTTTACAAGATCAATCTTGTTGTAATCATTTCTCGATTGATACAACTCAATATCATCTGCAAACAGCTTGATGTCACAATCTCCATCAGTGCAATAAACTATGTCTTAACAAATATTAAGAACAATATAGGTCCTAGTACAGTTCCTTAGTGTATTCTACTCTTAACTGGAGTGTTTTCAGAATATGAAGTACCAACGGACACACATTGAAAGTGGTTAGTTACAAAATTTTTAATCCGATTAAATAGTTCGTACTTAATTCCATAGTATTGCAATTTGAACATTAGTTTAGGATGAGTTACCAAGTCAAAAGCTTTTTCAAAATCAATATTGATGATGTCAACTATTTTTTTGTTATTTACCGCAGTGGTCCATTCGTTTAAAGTTGCCAGATTTTGTGAACATGTGAATCTGCGATTTATAAAACCGAATCAAATAAACATGAAGATGGGGCAGAGTTCCAAAGGGTTGAAGTGGGGGAAAAAGCTAGACAAATAAAAGTTTTTAGAGCATGCAGAGACAGATACAGTAAACAAATGAGACTTTGCTGAATGACAATTCGAGCGAAAATAAGTTTTAGTTGATGGAACTAGAAATGATAACTTTAAGCAGCAACCATAATAATATTTGTAGAAAAGAGAAAGAGATGCAACTTTAAAACGATGGGAAAGAAGCTCAAGCTTAGCAGGTAAAGTGGGTCCAACTACGTTAACAATGCATTTTTGGACCTTGTCTAGAAAAGAAAGAAAATGATTAGAAGAACCAGCCCAAATATGACAACATTATTCCATACAAGGATGAATAAGAGATTTGTAGAGGTAGAGAATGGAATCAGGAGAGAAAATGGTGAAGGCGATAAAGAGAAGCAACCTTAGCTGATGCTAATTTAGCAATAAACTGTGTATATGGTTTCCATGAAAGGCCAGTTGTAAACAATTATCCACTTAGACATAAAGAATAGCACTCAGTGAGGAGGTTGCCATTTATTAATATAGGAGTGTAGACAGTTCTGAGATAGTTGTTTGCAGTAAATAACTGAGTTTTGTTGGGGTTAAAATTTAGAAGTCACTGTGAGCCCAAATCTGTTACAGAAGTGAGATCAGATTCAAGATCGGCTACCTGTTCTAAGAATAAAAGCTTCCATTCCTGCCTGAATCCAGGAGGTTACATAGGAGGCGCATTTTCAACTGAGAAGGAAAAGACATTAGCCCAAGAACTCTCACAAAGAAAGTCATGAAAAGAATCCCAAAGAGCTTTAGGGTAGAAGTAAGTAGTATGATGATAGGGTGAGTCTGAAAAGGAAGAACAAGATGAAAAGATTTAAAAAGGTCATTGCATGGTCAGATCCAAAGGAGAAACTGAACACAAGCTAGGATCAGAGACCAGACATAAATCAAGAAGTGAAAATGATCAGGAAAATGAGTCACATAACTAACTATCTGAGTTAGAGATAGTTAATTATGTAAAAATGCAGAAGTTAGCAGCAGCAGGGTCTGTGGCGTTAGAGCCAAGCCATTCAGTGTGATTACCATTAAAGTAACCAATAACAACAATATTGGCAGAGGGGTAAAGAGAGAAGGTATGGTCAATATGATCAGAAATTACGTCTAAAAGAGTGCAGTCTTAGGAAGAAAGTGAACAATAAAGAACAAAGAGAAAAGTGATAGAGTGAAGAAGTGCTAAGCAGAAGCACATAAAAGGATGGTCAAAGGATTTGAACCTGATTTCACAACAAATAGGTGAATTGATGTGTATGTATACCCCCAAGCAAAGCATGTGACTATTGGAGTATTTGCTAATCAAAGGATAGTACCCATGAACACTGAGATCAGAACAACGAATAATTTATATTAATTTAGTCTCACTAAGAGCAAGCAAGTCTGGTGAATTTTGCAAGAGGTAAGATTCAACTGATGGAAAGTTGCTTCGCAGACCACGAATATTAGTAAAAGGTATATTAAAACAGTTAGGTGGTAGGGTTTTTATGCCTAATACTTTGGATTACTTTTCTCAGTCTTGTTAAATAAGTCATAACACAGGGCTCCTTATGTGGCGTCGACAATGCACACCAAAGGCATTAACAGGGACACCATCCATGAGCAACATGGCATTTTTAATGTTCTGATATTTTGCAGCTGTTGATGAAATCAGCCTCTCTGAGAGCTACCATAGAGTTTGGGAAACTTTACTACCAGCCGGCCTTAGAACTATTAAACATAGTTTTAGGCTGTACGCTCATTAGAAGATAACAGGAAGAGTCGTATAGTCGCTATCAAGAAGGCACATGCTAAAACTTATGACCAGAGTCAAGAAGATCCAGCATTCATTACCCTAGGCAGGAAACAATGTAATACAGGTTTACATCTACGTCAGCCTAATAGATGTTCAAGGATGGTTAGCAGAATTATTTTGTTTACCCTTTTGTTTAGAAGGCCTCCTACAAGGCAGTAGCTGGATGCAGTTAACATCTGCCCAAGACAAGTATTTTTATCAGGACACTATCTCTAGCATTTGCTCAACCAAGAACCCCAAAACAGGGGATTTTTAAGTTAGAGTTTGTTTCTACTACCTTTGCTTAAAAAAACAAACTCTACAAGGCAGCAGGAGATGGGGCAGGTAATACTGGGTTACATAATACCAGTAATATTTGGCCTAAAAGTATATAATATTATTACATGTATGGCCTTATTTTAAATAAAAACTGCTTAATACATTAGCTTAACACGACATTAGCAACATCAATTTAACATCATAAAATTCTTTTTATTTTTTTATCTTTTAAAGACATTAACTTTTTTAATATACTTCAATAATATTAATTACCCCTAAACAAGTTAAATGGGTTGTTTTTTTTTATTACTATAAGGGAATGTTTATTTTGTTATTATATATATATATATATATATATATATATATATATATATATATATATATATATATATATATATATATATATATATATATATACAGTAGCTTTCATAAATTTAGACGCATTCATTTTTTTTTTTCATATATGTAAGAAAATACTCAAAATAAAAATAAAATAAAAGTGCTACCACTATGTTTGATATATAATTTAAAAGAGGAAATGAAACTCTATTATAGAGTACCTTAATTTTTTTTACAGGATGTTTATTACTCATTTTATACCAATTAACACAAAAAAGTTAATTGATAAACTTGATTTTATTTTGTTCATAAATTTAGACGCACAATTAAAAAAGTCTTATATCTTGTTAATTGATAGTTAATTAGTAGTTTTTTTCTTATATTTCTCATTAATAGGCCTAAATTAATTGATTTTGTCAAAAAACCTTATATAAATATGACTTACCTGGAATTATTTAATCATTATTTAATAAATAAACAAAAGTTAAGTTAGTTTTGCACTAAAAAAACGTAAAAAATGGGCAAAAGACGTATCACTCAAGGTGAAAGATGGCAAATTATTGCGCACATCAAAGAAGGAACCAAAAGTAATAGAGAAATCGCCAAGTTAATTGGAGTTTCTGAGAAATGCCTTCGGACAACGAAACAAAACTTTCTTCACACTGGTGGTGCCAGCGAGAAAACGAGGCCAGGTAGACCCTTGTCAACCACGAGAAAGGACGATAGTGTTCTTTTTAGAGCTGTCAGAGCTAATCCAAGAATTAGTTACAAAGAATTGACCACAGAATTCAATACAACGCAAAATACATCTATTTCTCAAAGCACAGTCCGCCGAATACTTATCAAATACAAGATTGGAGTCTACACTGCTTTGAAGAAACCGTTTCTGCGTCCATATGATAAACAAAGGAGACTAAAATGGTGTCGTGAAAGAAGGTATTGGACAATAGATCAATGGGAAAACATTATGTGGAGTGATGAGAGTAACTTTGAGCTTATCAATCGCAAATCTAACATAACAGTCAAAAGAATGGCTCACGAAAAGTATTACGTCAGGTACATTAGACCAACTGTACAAAGTGGAGGAGGCTCGATAGGAATCTGGTCATGCTTCAATTACAAAGGTGTTGGTATGTGCCAAACATACACCGGAAGAATCAACTCCAGAATATACGTAGAAGTACTGGAAAACAACCTAATTCCATCAATTGACCTGCTTATGCTCAATGATAAACCATGGAAACTTCAACAAGATAGCGCTACTGCACATACTGCATACTATACAAAGGAGTGGTTCAACGATAATAATATTATGACAATTCCGTGGCCTCCATATTCACCTGATTTGAACCCGATTGAAAACATTTGGGCTTGGATTGATCGTGAATTAGCAAAGGTTCGAATTTCCACACTTGGTCAGCTGAAGGAATTCCTTAAGGAGACCTGGTATGGGGTCCCAGAAGCGATGTGCAAAAATCTTGTTGAGTCTATGCCTAGAAGAATTCTTAGTTGTATTAAAGCAAAAGGCGGATACACAAAATATTGATTGGTTCATAAATTACGCCTTCTAATGTATCGTGCGTCTAAATTTATGAATAATTTTTTTTGTCTAATTTTTTTAATACCATGTAGTTGTACCTAATTATTACTTAGTATTTCATTTTTTTTGTAAACTTTTTTTTAAATTTTGTATTCTGTATGTATTTATCTGATAAATAGAAAAAAAACTCAACCGAAATCTTTTTTCGTCATTGTTTTATCGTTAAAATACCTAAAATTTTCTATTCTCAAATATGAGTGCGTCTAAATTTATGAAAACCAGTGTATATATATATATATATATATATATATATATATATATATATATATATATATATATATATATATATATATATATATATATATATATTAAAAAATTAAAATTTCCAATGACATGTTAGCTAAAGTTTGACATTACGTTAACTTTGAAACGTTACTATCTGTATGTCACTCAATTTTCGATTCACATTAATTATATGCATGTCAAGTTTGGGGACAATCAAAAATCGTTTGTCTTTCTAAAATCATTTCACTTCAAAATAGAGCAATACGAATAGTTCTATCCAAGAAATTTTCCTTATGCATCTTGTATCTTACTTCCAAAATTCTTTGTTTCTATGACTTAATTCAGTTTTTAAATTGTTCATTTGTCTGGGATCAAAAACATGGTCTCCTTCCTACCGTATTTCATAACTATTTTAATAATAGGATGATGAGTGGGCATAACTTAAGATCAGTTAGTTATAACAACTTAGCTATTCCACTAAAACTATCCCACGAGACATCTAACACTATCCTACTAGATAATTAAACATGGAATTAAATGCATTACATACCAGTGTGTCTGTTTTTGGAACACCCTTCCTAACACCTTGAAATCAAGTTTCATCTTTAGTTCCAATAATCCGTTCTTATGGTCACTCCATCATTTCTACCTAAAAAGTTACACTTAACTTGTGTATATGTACATCTTATAATTTTTATTTGTGCATGTATATAAATAAACACATTATATTAATTATTTTACCCATATCTTACTTTTTTTTTATTTTATTTTAAATTCTGATTCACTCCCAACAAGGCTCCAAGTAACTACTGTTAAAAGTTGGAAGTTACTAGAAAAAAAGAATAGAGTTATATAGCAAGGAAACGGTTGACAGAAGACTTGAAAAGTTGAAGGTTGTATGAGTCAAGAAAACATGAAGATTGGAGTGAAATCCAAAGGGTGAGGTACGGGAAAAAAAATAGATAAAGAAAAGTTTTTAGAGCATGCAGGGACAGATACAGTAAGCAAATGAGAATTTGTTAAATGACGTCAAACGAGAATGAGTTTTAGTTGATAGAACTAGAGATCATAGCTCATTTGAGTATCGACCATGATAATACTTGTATTGAGTATCGACCATAATAATACTTGTATTGAGTATCGACCATGATAATACTTGTATTGAGTTTCGAGCATGATAATACTTGTATTGAGTATCGACCATGATAATACTTGTATTGAGTATCGACCATGATAATACTTGTATTGAGTATCGACCATGATAATACTTGTATTGAGTATCGACCTTGATAATACTTGTATTGAGTATCGACCATGATAATACTTGTACAAAAGATAAAGAGATGCAACTTTCTGATGATGGGAAACAGGCTCAAGCTTTGTAGATTTCCAACTACGCTTACAATGCGTTTTTGGATCTTGTCTAGAAGAGAAAGGCAGCCTTAGTGAATGCTAATTTAGCAATCGATTGTATATATGGTTTCCATGAAAGATCAGTAGTTAACAATAATCCCAAAAAATGTGAATTCATTAATATAGGAATGTCGACAGTTTGTGATAGTTGTTTGCAGTAAATAACTGGATTTTGTTGTAACTTAAATTTACAAGTCACCTTGAGCCCCAATCTGTTACAGATTATCAGATTCAAGATCAACTGCCTGTTCTAAGTGATCGAAAAGACTTCTTGTCAAGACAGGAGTATAAAGTTGAGTAATCAGCAAAAAGAGCTACTTTAAATGTAAGGTTGTTGGAAAAATCATTAATCTAGATAAGTAACAGAACAGGACCAAGGTTAGAACCTTGAGGTACCCTGAGGTTACTGGAAATAAAGAAGAGTATTGGTCTTCAAGGATGACTTTAATAAAGCGGTTAGAAAGAAACAATTTGATAATCTCAACAATTTTCCCAGATACACCATATAAAACAAGTTTATGGAGAAGACCTGCCTTTTTTAAAATTCTGTTTAATGGGTGTTGCCATTTATAAATTTGTGAAGTTTTTCTTTTATTATATGGTTAATTTATTTTGATATTATTTTTTGGTCTTTTCTTTATACTATTTAGGTCATTGCATTTTATTAGTGAATTACTATTTGCAATGACCTGTGGTTGATTTTTTTGTAACATTCATATTAACACGAAATATATTGATTGATTGTTTTTGTTTTTTATCTTTAAACGGCAGTTCTATTTTACTTCGGTATAGTTTCATCTTTTTCTGACGTAAATACGCAAACATTGGTGACCAAAATTTTATTGACATATATTTTTAGTATCAGTTTTTAGAGTTATGCAACTGTCCCCAGTCAACTTGCAAGCAGTTTTGTTCTATTTACTGTTGTAGTGTGTTTTGTTCTATTTACTGTTGTAGTGTGTGTTTTTGTATGTTTTTATCTGTGTTTTTGTTTCACCAATATACTTTTTGTTACATTGATATTTATTAAGGTAGATTCCTGGGTTCATTGTTAGTTTAATTTATTTATTTTATTTGTAGATATCCTGGTTTTCATGAAGATACTTTTCCATACAGATATAGCCGTGACTATTGGGTTGTTCTCACTGCTCGTCTTGCCTTTGTAATTGCCTTTCAAGCATTTGTTCTTACAGTTAAAGAAACAGTTGCATATTTAATTCCTGATGTTCCAAAATGTAAGTAGGATTTAAAGGATAAAAGCAAATTTTTTTAGAACTGTTTTATTTTTAATATTTAACATTATATTTTGTAGCTTTGGAATTAAAAATTAAACGTGAGAAATATTTGGCTGAGCAGCACGATCGTGTTCACAAAGAAAAAGTAGGGAAGCGTAAACCGAAAACATTAGGATTGACTGATTCAATAAATAATTCGACCCAACAAAACTATGACGAACGTTTAGAGCCAGCAATGTCGCCTATGGTTTAGTTAAGTTTAATTTTAAGTATTTGAGACAAAAATTTTTACTTGAGTACTAGTTTTGTATAAATTCCATTTAATGCAGTCTGATGACGAGGTCAAATTTAGATATCATTTCTTTATATTATCAATACACCCAGTGAGCTCAAAACTTCTTTCAGACATAATATTATGTTTTAATACGTGTTTTGAACGTTTTTAAAACGTCTTGTGCCCACTGGACATAACTATAGACTTTTTAGTTTTTTTGGCTGTCATTCAGAACCTAAAGTTGAATAACAGTCTAAATAGTAAGTAGTTCAAACAATTAATTTTATTGACATATATTTCTATAATCTATGAAAGTTTTTTCTGTTATCTTCATCCCTCAACACCTGTAACTGCATTTTTTGTAAGGTTTTCACTAAAGGTATATTTTCATAAGTTATATTTTGTATGTATATTTTGTTGGTTTTAGTGTTTGATTTTTTCTAATTTTTGTAGCGTAAATATAAGATGTAAATATTATTCAAATATTTATATGGTAATTGTAAAATGTTTATAAGTAATTTTAAATATTTTTTTAAATAAATGTTTTTTGCATTATTATTTATTCAATTTTTATCCTTAAAAGTTATTTTCAGGTTTTACGGTTATAAAAATCATTTAGTTTATATCGTGTACCCCATACTGTACCCCATACACGTTTTATTGTAAAGCCATAAAGTTGCATAAAACTACAAACAATATTGTTTTGTCAATATAAAAATTTGTGTTAATATTAAACTTCGCCATCTTGTTTTATTGCTGTTTTTTACAGTTTGTAACATTAGAAACATAAAAAAGCGTTATATCGTCAGTTTGATCGTGTTATAAGTATCCAAGCTCGATTCTGCGCAGTCACTGAGTTTAATGTTTATTTAAGGACTGCTATATAAAAGAATGCGCATATTCAGAGTTCATTTACGAACGTAACGATAAAGTTTATCTGTAATAAAATAAATATTTTCTAGAACGCGAATATATTTTCATAACAACGTGAAAATATTTTCATAACAACGTGAAACTTATTTTTAAAAAACATAAAAAGTCAATTTAGCAAAACTTTGTTAAAATTTAAAGCCTATATTAATATCTATTAATAAAGAAATACACATCACAATATATTTTACTCAGAAAAGCACTTGCTTTTTTCATTGATGTCTGATTAATTTTTTTTTTTTCTTGATCTTTTTCATAATTATAAACCAAAATGATTGGTCAATTATAGGTAATGACTTTTTCTACAGCGTTTAGTTTTTTTTACTAAGTATAAACCAGTTCTTAATTGCTCAAAAGTACACATAAATATTTCGTTGAAGCGTTCATTATGATGCCAAAATCCAATACTGCATTTGCTCAACCCATATCACAGAGTTTAAGAGCTATTGGAGGTCAATAATAAATAAATGAAATTTATACGTTATTATAAAAGAAACATGCGATCCGTTTAATGAATTCTGCGGATCGGTTCGCACATTCCTCAATATTTCTTAATCAAATGAAAATCCTCAATATATATAAACTAAACGTATATAAAAATTTATCAATTGTTTATATGTAAAAACATGATTTATCTCTTTTAATTTTTAAAGATCTTTTTATTTTGAAACCATTAAGCAAGTTTAAGATGAGGAATAATAATTATATAAATGAACTATTCTGTCAAACAAAATTCAATCAATTTTGTATCACTTATCGTGCAGCTTATCTCTGGAACAAAATTATTTTTGCGTTTTTAAAAATAAATTAAAAGACACGAGGTCTTTTTCTTTTTATCGAAAATATCTTAGATTATTTTTAATTAATCTTGTGATAAAAAAATATATATATTAATTTTTATTGTCATAAATGTTCAAGTTTTGTTTTATACTTGTTTACAATTTATTTGTCTAAATACGATTTATTGTTTTTATATGATTTTGTACGTACTCTTATTGTAAAAAGGCGTTTTTTATAATATTTTACGTACCCTCTTTTGCAAAAGGCTTCTGACGATAAGATCATTGTGATCTTCTTTTAGAAGCCTCGTTTGTATTTGAAAAATATGTTTTATATATATATATATATATATATATATATATATATATATATATATATATATATATATATATATATATATATATATATATATTACGTCAAATGTAAACAAAAAATAAAAAAATAATAAAAATGGAAGTCAAATATTAAAATATTACTTGTAAAATAATTATCAATTATAGTAACATAAATGTCAAACACAGTATAAAAAAAATTTAGGGAACTTGGGATCTAGGGAACTAGGGAACTGAGACTCATCATCCCTTTGTAGAAGAATTACGCACGAAGGAATTCTCGAGTAAATGCATATAAAAGCCGAAGCGCGAAACTAAAAAGTAAGGGGACGCCAATAAAGTACGTACATTTTTTTTTACCCAGCCCCCATCCGCATATTTCCATACGGTTTTTTGAGTACCCTCTACCTCCCTAAAAGTACCTACGCTATTAACCTATCAACCCAACATTTTTTGATATTTTTTTTAATTTGGTGTCTCCATACTTTTATAATTGACCTACTGCTTCCTTCCCCCCCCCCCCCCCATCTCATATACGCTATTTGCAGACCCCCTCCTCCTCTCCGAGCGTACGTTTTTTATGGACGATCCCTAAAGAATTTAATAATAATTGAATATTCAAAAAAAGAGTTTTAAAAAGTTTTTAAGAAGTTTTTAACAGCACTTTTAACAAGTTTTAAGTTTTATTATAATTTTTATCATCAAAAGATGACCTGAAACTGTGAGTGAAAAAAAGCCGTAAAAAATGTCCGAACAAATAATTTGAGCATAAGAAAGAGTGCTGCTAAACACAGTGTTAGCAAATCAAGACTCATCGACCATATCAAAAAGACTAAACATAAGAATATTGATTTAATAACTGTTGATGCAACAACACAAGGCGGTTAGCCTTTGAATAAGCGGGGAGAAATTGTATAAAGTATCGACGAAAATGGAAGAAATGGAAGTCCGCAGATCTGATTTGTTCTTGTCATTCATAAAACGTTATCCTAGCCTATCAATACGATCATTTGTAGCTACGAGTCTGGCTTGAATAACCAGTTTTAATAGAGTAACAGCAGCAAATTTTTAAAATAGACTTCATGCAAATTTTTAAGTAAACAGCAAATTTTCAAAATAAACAGCAGCAGATTTTCAACTTCATCATATTACGCGATACGATTTCACACCATCCCAAATTTACAATCTGGATGAAACTGAGGTAAACGCAATGCAGCGTGTTTCTAAAGTTATAGCTTGGAAACGGCAGCATCAAGTCGGTCAACTGACATTACGAGAAAGAGAAAAATAGGTAACACAAACAGGAATCATAATTGCGGCTGGTTATGCCTGTTTTAATTTTTCATCGGCACTGCTTTAATAAAACGAAAATGATGTAAGGTATTTCAGACTCTTTATGACTTGGTTTGGTTAACTCTTCTGGCTTGATGCCAAGTGAGAATTTTTTTAAGGTGTTAAAATATTTTTCTTAGAATTTCCGTTTTTTTCACAAAATAACGTTCTGCACAAAACAAGGAATTGTCATCCTTAAAAACGCTGCCATCAAATACATCAGATAAATTTCAACCATTAGACGACTGTATTTGGGCCATTTATACATTTTTACAATAGTAATCTGGATTCATAGATGTTATCACACCCTGGTCAAACTGTTTGCATTTATGATATCCAAAAAAATTTTCTCCAAGCTTGGGGTAGAGATGCTACTCTTACAAATATAAAATCTGGATTTAGATTCACTGGTATTTGGAAAATCAAACACTAATAATCAAAAACAACGCAAGTGTAAATTTATAATAGCTACAAATACCCCGGAAAAAGAGGCACTTGTAGCTGCAAAATAAAGCAAGGATGACGAAGAAGCTTATAGAAAAGAAAATAAAGAAAAGTATTCTACAGAGAAAAATCTCTAAAAAAGAAATTCATTAAGAATCATCGTCTAATAAATCAATAGACCACAAATTTCAACGATTGAGAGTGCATATAACTTTGATGACGGTGAATTTAATGACAACAATACTAATACTTTTGATGTGCCATGATTTGTCATTTTAAGGAGACTTTAAGTGCAATTGCAATAATTTCTAAATGAAAAATAAATAATCATCGTTGAAATTCTGTATTTAATATTATTTTGTCCATAATCTCCCCTAAACATGATACTTAACTCGCATTTTCAAAATAGTTGTTAAACATTGAAAATCAAGAAATATAAAAAAAGATGAAATGTTAAAAAATACTTTAATTATTGAAAATTGACAAAAAAGTATGTTACTTTGAAAAAATGCAATAGTTATCAAATAAGCCTAGTTAGAGTAAAACCTATCTGAAGCCTCCCCGGTCTCCCCAATAAATTTTATTACATACTTTCACCTAAATTTAAAAAACTATGTACCGTAAACTAAGTTTACTTTTAACATTTTTGCGACACTTTTACTTGCCCTTCTTTTACTATTGGTAATAATTGAAATTTAATATAATGCTAAGGTTGTCTCTTAAATTTCTCCTATAAATGGGGTAACTTTGAATACGTTTTCTGTAAAAGCAAAACCTTTTCAAAAACGCATTGTTTTATTTTAAAATTTAATAGAAACAACTGGCTAGTTTTCACATGAATTTAATATTGCTAAAATAGTATATTATTTCATAACAAACACCCATTTGGTTTGTTTTAATGGGTATGTTTAAGAGTACTAGCATAAAAAGAGTATTATTTTTATCAGTTTCACTTACAGAAGACAATGCAAATGGAACATCTTTCCATTTTGTCTGAAAATTCTCAAAAGTAATGTGAAAATAAAAATTTATAAAATTTTATTAACTGTTCTTTGGAAATTTTAATTTAGCAAATATCACCGATTGGGCCTCCTTTTTCCTTGACATCAACATGACATTGTTAAAGTACATTAACTACAGCTTCGTAACTACTGTTTTAATGCTTTTATCACTATCTGGCAAACGATTGAGGATAAT